TATATATATATATAAAAAATATATATAATTTCTTTGAATCTAAATTGCTTTGCATCTAAATACTTTGTTGAGAGTCTTCATTGTGTAGCTACCAAGTACTATTGCAGGTGAGGAGTGAAGGCTGGCCCATGTAGTCCAATCCAATAGAAGAGCTACTGTAGCTCAAATTGCTGAAAATTGTTATTAAAAAAGCTAATTGTAGAGGCCTCTCTGATTAAGCCACAAAAAGGGCAAAACGTATCTGAGGAGTTCTCTACAGGTGAAGAATAGAAGCTGAAGCCAACGTTTACCTATTAGATTCACACTCATGCAACAGGGAGTCAGTGTCTGTGCGTAGCCAGATGCCATTTTGTTGAAGTCTATTTTTCAGATGGTTCATCATCATTCCTTACTGTTGGGGGATTGCCTGAACCTGTAGAATCTGTGACATACTGTAATCTCATCCCCGCTGACCAATTGAGCTGCATGTGGGAGATTTCCCACCCATAGCTGCATGTACAAAAGGGATAAGTAACATCTTTGACCTAATATGGCCACATGGCCACGGCTCATTGCCCAGCAACAAAGCTAACTTCTGGGTTTGGATCAAGCCCAGTTTTGACTGAATTCAAGTCCATCCCTGCTCACTTTACTTCTTTCTTAAGAAAATACTTTTTGTGTATCTGTTGCATGAGGTCTTACCTGGGGGGATCCTGCCAGTAACATCACTTTCTGTTGCAAGCTATCAATGTTAAAGTGGATTTCCAGTCAAATTCGATTGCTAGTTACTAAGACAGTGGCTTAGCATTGTCTAAATTCCAGATCGGTCATCCCGCTTCTTTACGTGACCACATCACTGCCCGGAGCAAGCCTGTGTATATTGGGAATCCCATTAGATGCTTTCTTCCGGTCAGTAATTGAAGGATAAAGCCCAGAGTTTGGAGCCTGCAATGTTTATGTTCTCTCCTCATAATTTCCTTCTGAGAGTTAACATGGAAGAAGGAAACTTGAAATAACAACACAAGGTTTGGACGTTGGCATCTTTTACATTTATCAGAGCGTTACAACTTGCAACGATAACATCAATGCTGCCAAACAAACTATGGAACTGAGATGGGGATTATCTGGGATGTGGTTATAGATGTGACTAAACTCACTATTCACTGCTTGCCAAGTTATGGCAGAAGAACATACGGTACTTTATAAAGTGCTTTCACCTTGTAAGAGACAACAATTCTGCTTTTCTGGATAGTTTATTGTCAAGCATAGAACAGGGATCCCCCTGTGCTTTCCTGTTAATTGTGTAGTATGCATCAAACGTACGTAATTTATTTTATCTATCTATTTATCTATCTATCTATCTATCTATCTATCTATCTATCTATCTATCTATCTATCTTTTGCTGTACTTTATGGGAAAGCTAAAATGAGCATTTATAGTAGGCTTCATAAACGACACAGGTATTTAATAATGTACAGAGGTATATAAATGTTAGACAAATCAAAGGTAAATTAGGCAGCTGCCCAGAATTTGGCTAACCAGGAAAGCTGCCCAACCACATACAATACTCCTCCGCCCACCTCTAGCTACATACCCCCTTCAAAAAAAAAGCTAAACTAAATTCCCCAAATACTCACCTAAATCTGAAGTGATGTGATGCACCCTGACCCAGTCTTAAACATTTTTCTCTGCAGAGTGGAACGTTCCATTTTGAGTTCCCACATCTCTTCCTATTGTGATTGACATCTTCCATTGGGTCTACCAGCACCTCACAAGGCAAAGAAGAAGGCTTCAGTGGTGACTTCATAAAGATGGCAAAAGATTAGTCGATGGTGGGCCAAGAATACAGCAGTGAATCACCAGTCATTACTCCGGAAGAAGGTGCCACTGAGAGGTATATTAAAGTGGATTCAGATAAATGAAACCATTTTTTTTTAATAGCTGGGGCTTCCAATTTTGCCCAGAGCTGGGCTTTAACATTTAATAATACAATATAGTTGATGCTATGTGATGCTATTCCACCTTACGTTATGTAAAATTATTATCTACAAACAAGTCAATATTTTAAATATTAATTTTGCTTTTAATTACACAGATACATGTGATCAATCATAAATTTCATATGGTGCTTGTATCTAGAATCAATATGCTAACAGCAAGGTTAATCTTTTGATAAACCTGTTTATTAATTACACTTACACTCTGATAATACTTGATCCTGGAGTTATGCCAGGCACTGCAGTCACAATGTGTTGTATAAATGACTAAGGGGCCAAGTTCATGTGACCTTGAAGGGTAGGGGCAAAGACGTGACCTTGAAGGGTAGGGGCAAAGACGTGACCTTGAAGGGTAGGGGGTAGGGGCAAAGACGTGCCCGGTACAGTCCCCTTAAATTGGTAATTTGAGTTCACCATAGTTAATGTCAAGAACCCTGTAGTGAGAGTGAGCAGTTTAGTGGTAGTTGGTAGCTGCTACATGTCCCCAGAGTAGTGAGTGGGCTGTACAATAAAATAGTGAGGTAGTACCAGCTCTGCCCCTGCCAGTGTGAGGCTTCTTGTGAAGAGGGCATTGTATGAATAATCTGGCAGGAGTTGAGGTTTGGTCATGGAAAATAGTTCAAGGAAAAAGTCATGCAAAGATGTAATTTTTGAGGCCCTAGCTTCTGGGAACTTCCCCTTGGTGGAGAAAGGGTGCAGGTCTGATGGGTATACTTACACTGGCAATGCAACTTACACCCTCAATGCAACTTTTCTGTTTGCGAAAAAAGTGCAATTACCATGACCATAACTGAAAGGGTGTAAATACTTTGTATGTAAATCAGCTATGATTCAGGGGTTCTGTAACCCTCAGAGATAGGTGAAAACAATGTAATTCACAAAAGCACAGGCACAGGAAGTTATGATCTGGCAAGATTTCTAACAGGACCAGCAGTTATTTTTGCACTTATCAAACAGATATAACAACACGCTTTCCATGATAGATCTAACAGACCAAACAGGATCAAATAGGAGGAATTATTCATTAGGATTTAAATACCCTTTAAGCAAAACAAAGCAAAATAGGTGAACAGTTCAACCTCACAGTTGTCATAAAGACAATATTTTGAGCAGCCAGTAAACCTAGATAACAAATTGGTTCATATAAAAAGACAATTAACAACTATAAAATTATAATAATAAATAAAAATGATCACTTACCAAAATGACAGCTTAGATTTGCTTTGTATTAATACCGTTATTTTGCAATAGGCCACCTGAGACTTTCCTTGTTCCGTCCTTGACGTCATATGATGTCCTCCTGGAACATACCTTGCGTGTGGCCGTGCGCCCACACTGTGGCGCAATCTGTCACTGGCTGTGTCCACTGTGACCAATCACAGCAGATCACATGACAATTATACACATTGAATGGCGTTGATGCATGCCATTGTCATTGTGTACAATTTTGTTGCTAGCCATGATTGGTCACAGTGATCACATGGTACAGACACAGCCAATCACAGCCGATCTGTACCCAGTGATTAGCTGTGACCAATCACAGCTAATCACAACAATACATACTGAAATAATTCATTTCATTTGGTCAAAATGCTTGCTTATAGCAGTGAAATTCATTTGCAAATAACTTTGATATGCTTTGGAAAAGAAATATAATTCCCCTCAAAACACAATATATGTACCACTTTGTTATCTTAAATAAAAATGAAGTTATCGCTAGATAAATTAGCCCACAGTGTAAATTAGACTTGTGATTCATTTTGTTACAAATCAAAATTTGGACAAAATTTTTTGTTATTCAGAGATTCTGATGTATCCAAATTTCTGAATCACAATAGTGACGAACAGGGATGGACTGACCATTTGAGCACTCGGACGCTGCCCGAGGGCCCAGGGGTCAGTAGGGGGCTCCATGAGATGCCCCTGGTACCTTTTTATAGTTTTTTTTTGGGTGTGGCGAGAACACGGGGGCCCCATGATTCCCTATTGCCCGAGAGCCCCATGAGTTGTCAGTCCGCCCCTGGTGACAAATTTCAACAAATCTGACATAAATTATAAGGAAACAAATTATCTGAATTTGAATTTGATTTTGATTTGAAGTGGGAAAATTAATTTGAATTTGAAATGAAAGCATATTACAATAAATACAGTAAGGTATAAGCTTAAAATAAGATGATGATTCCTAATTAGGCTGCTGAATAGAAAAGCACAGAATAGAAAGGAATAGAAAAGAATAGAATAAAACAGAAAAGAATAGAAAAGTGTAAACCAGAATATGATAACATAGAATAGAATAGAAAATATTATGTAGAATAGAACAGAATGCAATAGAAAAAAAAAAAAAAATAGAATAAAATAGAAAAGGATAGAATAGCATAGAGCATAATAGAATAAAACAGAAAAGAATAGAATAGTGTAAAACAGAATAGAATAAAAATAGAATAGAAAATATATAGAATAGAAGAGAATGGAATAGAAAAGAATAAAAAAAATAAAAGAATAGAATAAAATAGAAAAAGAATAGTATAGAAAATAAAAGGATACAATAGAAGAGAGCAGAATAGAAATAAAAGAATATAGCAGAATATAACATAATAAAATAGAAAGAATATAGCCGTCTTCTGAAATTTGAATTTGAATTTTGAATTTCGAATTCAAATCTCATATTTCTAATTCAAATTTCCAATTTTGAATCAATTTGAAAATAGTGAATATACGAAATGAATTCCGCAAACGTATCATTCTAACATAGCAAATATGACGAAACAAGATTATTAACTTAGCGAATGAATCCAAAACCAAATACATTTTTAAGTTGTGCACATCTCTAGTGGAAATGTAAATATTGCTCTGGTTTATAACTGATATATAAAACATTAAAGTTTTAAGTGGTTAAAAATCCCTGCAAATCAAGATTTGTACACACAATGAATGTATGAAATGAGAAGCAGTTCTGATGTGAACAAATGCCCATCTACAGCAACCCTACCACCAACCAAGAAGGCCTCAATGAGTATACTTACCGGCCACCACTTCATGGTTCTTCCAGCTAAGAAGTAACCTCCCACCGTCCCCCTGCTTGCTCGGACTGAAGACTGCAAAAGAAAAAATTGAGATTGACTTTCATTGTATTTAATTCTTTACTAATTTATAAAAGAAGACATGTAGAACATGCTATCAGTCTGTTTGTTTTCGTTACCTGTGTTTGGTCATTAAAGATTTTTTGATTTTGAAGATAAATGGACTTATCATTGCAGCAGCTCATCAGCTTGGCTTGATTTTGGGTAATACCCAAAGAGTTAAATCCAAAGCATCTTTATATATGATCGATGGCAGGACTGTATTTAGAATCTGTGCTGCCCTAGGCAGCACAAAAAATCTTCAGGCCCCCACCCCCCAACAGCCCCCCCCTGCACACCATGGCCCCCATGACCCTTCCCCCCGGAGAGAAACTAACCATCACAGCAGCTCCCATCCCGGAGTTTCACGGCTGCTCCCACGGCACCCCTAACTCCACTCTGCCACCCAGCCTGGTGCTTAGGAGAACCATCAGAGCTGCCCTTCTGAAAAATGCCACCCAAGGCAAACGCCTCGCGGCAAATACGCCCCTGATTGGTGGTTATAAAGAAACCATTATGGCACTCTGACACATTGGGCTTTCTCTATGTGAGAGGTAGCATGGCTACAGTTGGGGTGTTTGGGAATACCTTTCCTGCAGTACAAAGTAAGAAAAAGGGATTTTCAGATGTGAAGACCGCCAATAAAGGGGAGTGGGTAGACATATGTGCTACAGGAATGCCTGGATAACTATTGTATGCATCCTAAAGCAACCCTGTTATCCAACTGAACAATTAAGAGCATTTATACTTCTCTGGCCTGCTGCCAGTGCCTTGGATCGTCTCTATCTTACATCTATGAGGTCAGCATCAAAATCTCTACCATCTGACACTATGACTTGTTTCTGATGTCTTTGCCCCATACTTTGCCCCCTATTATATGGTGAATGTTTAGGAGATATTACCGTATTTGCCAGCGTATAAGACGACTGGGCGTATAAGACGACCCCCCTACTTTTCCTGCTAAAATGTAGTGTTTGGGCTATACTCGCCGTATAAGACTACCCCTCTTCCAATGCACACCAGTGGGAGGAATAGTGCCCCATCATTGATGTCAGTGGGAGGAATAGTGCCCCATCATTGGTATCAGTGGGAGGAATAGTGCCCCATCATTGGTATCAGTGGGGGGAATAGGTGCCCCATCATTGGTATCAGTGGCAGGAATGGTGCCCCATCATTGGCATCAGTGGGAGGAATAGTGCCCCATCATTGGTATCAGTGGGGGGAATAGGTGCCCCATCATTGGTATCAGTGGCAGGAATAGTGCCCCATCATTGGTATCAGTGGGAGGAATGGTGTCCCATCATTGGTGTCAGTGAGGGGTGGAATAGTGCCCCATCATTGGTGTCAGTGGGGGGAGGAATAGTGCCCCATCGTTGGTGTCAGTGGGGGGGGAATAGTGCCCCATCGTTGGTGTCAGTGGGGGGGAGGAATAGTGCCCCATCGTTGGTGTCAGTGGGAGGAATAGTGCCCCATCGTTGGTATCAGTGGGAGGAATAGTGCCCCATCATTGGTATCAGTGACACCAATGATGGGGCACTATTCCTCCCACTGAGACTTGCTGACCCTGTTCTCGTATGGTGCTGCTGCAGCCAGCATATGTGGTTGCAGCAGCACCTCTACACAGAGCACTTACCTGCTGCTCCGGCACTCAATTTTCGCGGGGGCCGCTCGGCTCCGCCCCCTCGCCGGTGATTGGCCGCCTGTGTGCCTTTCCTGAGCTACAGTTCTGGCGGCCAATCACCGGTGAGGAGGCGGAGCCACGCAGCCGCACAAACATCCAGTGGCCGAACTGAAGGAGACGCCGCGCTTCCTGGACCGGATCGTTGTGGGACTGGATCCAGGTAAGAGACGTCAGCCCCTGCAAACCCCTGTACTTAATGCCGCAGCCCCCCTAACATGTGTACCGGCGTATAAGACGACCCCCGACTTTTGAGAAGATTTTCAAGGGTCAAAAAGTCGTCTTATACGCCGGCAAATACGGTAATTTTACCTACCGGTATGCTTTATTATAAGCTTTCCTGTAGGTAAATTCTTTAAGAAGAGTTTACTACCACTTTAAAGTTCTTCTTTACCAGAGTGTTCCTTTTCAATTTTATTTTGGCAACAGGGTTGGCTTCATTTTTTATTTTGACTGGCGTGTGTATTGAGGATTTCACAACAGCTTCTTTTGCAGGCAGGTACAGCAGGTATCCCAACAGTTTAAAAAATAATATAAGCCTGCTATTGTTTGGATGGAAAAAAGCCAAATTTACCCTTTTTATTATTTCATCCGTTTATATGTGTTCTGATTTTACGATGCTTCTAGAGCAGGACTGGGATTTTAGCAAGATCCTGCCATTGGACATCTAGGGAAATGTAAAAATCCTGCAGAGTGTAATTTTGGATGGACAACCCACTGAACCATGTCATTCATTCAGTAAGTACATTCACCGGCCACTTTATTAGGTACACCTGTTCAATTGCTTGGTAACAAATTGCTAATCAGCCAATCACATGACAGCAACTCAATGCATTTAGGCATCTAGGCGTGGTGAAGACGACTTGCTGAAGTTCAAACTGGGCATCAGAATGGGGAAGAAAGGGGATTTAAGTGACTTTGAACATGGCATGGTTGTTGGTGCCAGACAGGCTGGTCTGAGTATTTCAAAAACTGCTGATCTACTGGGATTTTCATGCACAATCATCTCTAAGGTTTACAGAGAATGGTCCGAAAAAAATATCCAGTGAGAGGCAGTTGTGTGGCGGAAAATGCCTTGTTAATGTCAGAGGTCAGAGGAGAATGGCAGACTGGTTGCTGAGACATTCAGATGATGGGGCAGAACTTGTCGTAAACAACATGAAAGCATGGATCTATCCTGCCTTGTATCAATGGTTCAGGATGGGGGTGTAATGGTGTGGGAGATATTTTCTTGGCTATACAAGATGTACCTAATAAAGTGGCAGGTGAGTGTATATTTAGACCTATTTACAATACCTTATACAAATCCTTAGAGCCCATTTGAACACCTGCCCTTAAAAATTTATGTTTTTAATATGCAGGTTTTTTGTTTGTTGTTTGTTTGGTTTTTTTGAGTCACAGTCTGTTTGGGGTTTACTTTTAAAGCATTTACTGTGTACTCTTTCTAGTGAGAAGGATATGTTTTACTCTTATGCATACATTACAAGCCCTTTCATTGTCCATTTTGATCAGCAGGGGATTTGTGAACAGATCTCCTGCTGAATTGGAACTGAATGGTACAAATGTGACTTTTGCGACATCCATGTGAATTTGGTTTTGCTCTCCCAGAGCATAACAGATCCGCGTTAGGTTTATGGGCAGGAGAGTGTAAAACGGATGTTATTTTTGAAAGTTTCAAAAGGATTGGAGCGCCACACCAGCCTGTTTAGTCCCTTTAAAAGATTTTATTTTGCAACAACCAACACGTTTTGGGGGGCTCAGCACTTTCCCTTCATCGGGGATACAAACCAGATAATGTAGGCACCTGAATGGAAAAAAAACACTTTTCCAATCCAGGCACCTACATGCTGAGACCCCCAAATGCATTGGAAATTGCAATATAAAATCTTTTTAGAGGACTGTCCAAGCTGATGTGGCACTCCCATTCTGTCAAAATTTTAGTAAACTCTTTCAGATGTCCAGCAAGACCCCACGATTGCTGATGAGCAGCCTCTAAGACAGCAAACCACCCCACTACGCATCTCCATAGTGTTCAGAGCTCCTACATTACCGACGTTTTTTTTTTTGGACCTAGAGACATCTATTTACATGGATCTGATAATGCTCATCAATGTAGAGCGTTAGAACTTCAGACAAGTTTTTACTTTTCTTTTTCTTGATTACACATCCGTTCACATCCAGCTGCACATAGGCCAACATGGATCTTCTGTTCAAAGTCTGCTGAGCGACACTACAACACACCACACATAGAGCAGATGTGTTGCCATGCATTGTGGCAATGCATTGAAAAACTGAAACAGTACTAGTTAAAAATTCACCACAAAAAACTATTTTATCCAATGAAAATTCAATTTGTTAGTTTGAAAACTCAGTACAATAGCTCATGTACCTGGGCAATTTGGTCACTACACTATAAAAACCTGGCATTTGGGGGTGCAAAAGAAGTGCAGGTGCAGTTCAGTGTGTCAGTGGCCTGTCAACATGAATTACGGGCTAAAATATGCAGCAGCACCACCTAGTTGGACTCTGATCAGTGTAGTACTCACGTTTAGCACCATATGCATTCAGGAATGTTTGCACCGTATTCCTGAGTTGAGGGCATACATTTCTAAACATATACACCCCTAAACATGAGTACCTCTCAGAACAGCATAAAGCCACTTTTAGCCTGTCATTGATTTTGATAGGCTGCACCTGTCTCTTCCTTTCACCCAAAAATGCTGCATTTTTATACTCTTTTGCAGGGCTGTCTTAATGCATGGGCACCCCTGGGGCCTTAGGTGCATGGAGGGCCCATGATAATCTTGCATTACATCATACTTTCTAACTGTCCTGGATATACCGGGACAGTCAATCTTTTTACTAAGCTGTCCTGGCATGGCCTGGACCTGCACTGTGCCCTCCTGATCCCAGTATTGTGCCCTCCTAACTCCCTGTGTACTGTGCCCTTCTGTTCCCCCCCATACTGTGCCCTGTGTGTTGCTCAGTCTTTGATTTATGGGATGTTTTCAGATTGTTTGAAATACATTTTTTTTAGGTACTAATAAATATATGTTTAATTCTATCAATTAACGATACTTTATTTCTTGAGAGTAGGTGTGTAAATTGGAGCAGTGCTATTAACATGGGCCTGCTGTATGGGCCAAACTGGTAATGCTTTATGAGCCATAAAGGAAAAGTATTGGTGAAAAAAAGCACTTGTAGGTTTATCCTATCATTTTCTGCTCTTGAATGTTTTTTG